GTGATCTTAATATTATAATTAAATAATTTTATATAAATAAATTTAGTTTATAAAATATTTCTCACTAAGTTTATTAAAAAGTTGTTGAAAGAAGTAAATTATTAATTAATATGAATTTATTTACAATTTTTTTTTTTTTTGGCAATAATACATTAAAATTTTAATTTCCTATAAGACTTAAATCTAATTATAAAAATTATAAGTTCTTCTAGAAAACTTTTCTAGATATATTTCAATTTTTTCAGAAATATTTCTTAACATTAATAGCATTAAAAAAATTCTTTCTGTATAAAGTACAGTATATGTACAGAAGGAAATAATTTATCTATTTTAAAATGGAATTTGTAAACAAAATAATATCAGTATTTAATCTGTTTTGTAGCGTGTTAATTTTCTTTTTTTCGTTTGGAATATATTCCTCGTCAAACAATAACAAATGTAGAACACAATTATTATTTAATTTTGTTTTAAAGTTTAAAAAAAAGGGGGATTCAGAAACTACTTCAAAGTTTTATCATCTTCAACAAAATTGATCAATATACAGAATTTGATAGCGATGCTTTCTAACAATACTCTGAAATATTGATAAATAAGGAAAAAAAGACTTTATTTTCAAATATGTTAATTATAGTAACACATGATAAAAATGTCGTTGCGTGTACACTGAAGTTTTAGATCATTATCAACTACAAACTTAAAACAATTCATACATACTAAAACTTTTAAAGACCGAACTATATCAATATAGATACATTTACATATATCTTATTAAGTTAGCGATACTATAATAATAAATGTAATAACTCGACTACGTTAATAAACTTGAATAAAATTAGTAATGGAAATTGCATATTCTTTAACACAATACCTCATTAAATAAATAGTCTAGTGTTAATTATTATTAATTTGGTTTAATTAAATAATTTACGGAACGAAGAAGAGATAATGAAAGTTATTATTATTGTGCTTAGAAAATTATGAAAAAACAAGTGGAAACCACTTTTAAAAATATTAGATAAATTCTGAAAATTAAATTCGCTCATTATTATAATTAATTTATTGATGTTTGGTAGAATTTTTATGATGCTTTGTTTTGTTTTATAGGAATTCCGCTTTCGTGTCCTTAATGGGACTCTATCTATCAAATCGATTATACAGTAAAAGAATACAGATTCTATGATTAAGTCACTACGTTTTTAAATAGTATATGTTCACCCTAATTACCTACTATATAACAATAAAGTTTCAAATATGAAAATTTTATAAAATGTCTAAAGAATATTTAAGTCTTAAACTTTGAAAATCATTTTGTGTTTTTCTTAATTATTGAAAATAATATCAATTTTTTTTTGTTATTCTTAATTTTATTTATTAAAAATTTAAAAAAATATTTATATTATCATAAATTAATAAATTGCATATTATAGAAAGATTATGTTATTAAGTTTTACATGAAAATCTAAACATTAAAAAGGTGTCCTTAAAGCATCAAGAAAAGAATTTGACGTCAAAATTAAAAAATCACGACTCCCTTAATTATATTAAAAGGGATATCGAATTTGAATTTATTCTTAATATATCAATTGCTAATATGATTTATTTGAAGTTATAAAACGATTAGAAAAATAGTACAATAAAAGAAAATAACAGAATACTGTGTTTTTCGATACTTTATTCTATGAAAGCGCTCTTAATGATATTTTTGTACTTAAATTTGAAAAGAATGTTAAGAAAAATAAATTAAATATGAAATACTGATGAAAGAAAATTTTAAACAATCTGATAAATTTCGTTTAATTAATTCAGTATGTAACTTTAAGCTTTTTAATCTAATAAAAAGAAATTATGAATATCTGAACTAAAAGTAAGTACAAGATTTTGGAAAAATAGAAATTCCTAATGAATTTTTTTACAGTGTAATAAGTGCCTCACGACGACCATATTCGCAGAAATTTGTTGCTACAAGGGGGATCCGTACATTGGGACACTAGGGCACGTTTATAAGTTGTGTTCCCCTTTTGTGTAGTCTGCGGGCGCCGCTGGTTGTTATCTATCTAACTCTTTCGTCGTGAGACAGTTTGTTACTTCGATTTCATAAAGTTTTCATCCAGAAATTCTTCGAAAAATGGGAAAATAAATGTTTCGAAAGTCTTTAAGATGAAAATTGCTTGTGAAAAAATTTTAAAAAATTTAAAAAAAATATTGCATAAAATAAACAAACTTTGTAAAAATTTCTTTGTAAATTTCTCTTATAAATAGAAAAAGATAATTAAAAAAAATATTCGTTCAAACTCAAGAAAATATCACAACTCTGTAAATACCGCCCATACAATGCAATCGTGAGCAAATTAAAATACATTTATAATCGGAAGGATGTATCCGCCAACACACAATTTGTCAGAAATTTGACAGTTTTTAGAATTATTTTATTCAAAAAATTTAAAAGTAAAGTATATAATTAACATAAATAAAATAAGATTAAATTAAATTTACAAGGAAAATTCACACTTACTATCTAACAACTTCAAAACATTTCATTTGGATTTTTCGTGAAAATTTAATTGAAAGTTATTTTAACAATAGAGAGAAAATATAGATAACAAGTATAAAAGTAAATACAGGTGCAAGTATTAAATCATTAAGATTTTTTGACTTCTTCAATTATAGGACCGCTTTATGAACTAATTTTACTATGCACGAATATCTAACACGTTATTTAAATCCCAATATATGCATAAAAATTAGTTAATTATTATTATTTACTAGTATTATACGTAAGCGTTATTTCAAAATGAACTATAAACCATACAAGAAAACCGTGCACATCATAATTGCATTGTAATTGTTTTTACATAAAATAATTTATATTTATAACAATCTATTTACTGTATAGGCCTATATATATGGATAACAACATGGAAATTTCTATCAAGAGAATCTAAATCTCAATTCTGAAGTTTCAGGCACATTCCTTTTAAATGATTAGTCTACTAGATATAAATTTATTAGACAAACTTTCCACAAAAGAAAAGTTTGTCCATACTATATGCCCTTAATTGGTTATTTTTTTTTTTAACTGAGAAACTTTTATCAATTAATATCTTATTGCCAAAGTAATATAGTTTAAATATATTTGTATTTATAATAAATTAATGTATTAAGCTATTTATATAATCCATCTTGTGATTATCTCATTAATATTTTCTTATATTTAAAAATTACTTACTGTGATAGTTATTAAGAGTAAGTAAGAGTATTTTATTAATTTGATAGTTTAAATCAAATTAATAAAAGATTATTTTGTTCATTATTATTAACTTTTGAAATAAAATTTCAATTTGCATGATAAAAAATAAAGTATAATCATTAGATTTAATTACAAAAGAAAATGCAATAGATTAAAATTATTTTTAGGTTCAAATAGTTTAAATTAGGATTAGTACAAGGCAACAATAACATTAACACAATATGTTAATAAAAAAAAGGGACTGTTTCTGAATATTTCTATCTGTAAGTCATTAAAACTCCTTCTCAATGTCAGCAATCTTTACCAACTCAAAATTATCTAGCGGTTTTCTATATTCTTCAACTTCATTTTTCTGTTATTTAAGTAATTTTTAAAACAGAAAATACAATCAGAAGTTTATGTTTTGTTGGCCCGACTTTTTAAAGTTTTGAGAAAGAACCAAAACGAAAAAATATATTTGACAATCCAATATAATGATGTAATAAAAAACATATTATTGGATTGATATACATACTAAATGATTTGCAGATAATTATTAAAATTTAATCATTACGAATTAAATAATTTTGTTCGTTATTTAGAGAGGTTTTTTTTTTTTTAATGAAGAGCACCATAACATATTCATTTTATTAGTAACATCGTGTCTATAATATTAACATTTAAATTAGACAAAAGAAATGGCCAAGACTATTAAGACATGTGACTGTTGTTCTGAGAAGTCCGATTCGGGTCTTGTCTGAGGAACAGAACACGACATATTCGAGTCCTGTTCCTCCCGTGGTCTGAATATCCGGTCGTTTATTACAGACCTGGACAAACTCGTGACAGGCCCGAATGGATTTTTTTAGTATCTATAGTACAGGAAGAATTAAAAACATCCAATTATAAACTTACCCGTAGCCCAGTGGATAGCAGAATGCTTTTCGTTATCAACACAGTTAATATCGGCTCCTTTCCGAATTAAATATTTCGTCATCATTTTATTGCCACTAATAACTGATAGATGCAAAGCAGTATAACCTTCCTCATCTTGAACATTTATTAAAGTAGGATCAGCAGTCAATATACATTCAGCACATGCCAAAGTTCTGTTTTCTGCACAGTAATGAAGAGGAGTCTTTCCTGTACGATCGTGTCCGATAATCAGCGAAGGCTGAAACGATTTAATTTTACCAAAATAAGAAAACTAAATATTGATTTATAACAAGATCTAATTTATTTAATGTTAAAATTCAGCAAATTTCTATTTTAACTTTGATGTTATTTTTAAACGCTACAATATTTTATAAACATGGAAAATTCTGTTTAATCTTTTGCGTGATAACATCATAATCAACGATATCGTGTATCGATTCATATTACTAATATTTGTGTTTTTAGCATAGACGTAAATTAGATTTTATAAATTTCTTTCTGGATTGTGAAGAATCACGAATATGCATGCTCTTCTTGATTTTTCAAGTGTTAACGACTGAAATTTCTCTCAATTGCATAATATTATGATTGACTTTTTATTCAAAAAATTCTTTAACATGTCCTTATTTGTTTAAACTGAAAAATATCAAGAATAAAATGATTCTTTTTATTTCATAAAAAATCAAAATCTATAAATTTGATATTTTTATTACGATTCTTTAAACCAAAAAGAATTAGAAAAATTACTTATTAGACATTGAAGTAAACTTTGTAACTATTATTAATATAAAGCATAGCATTATAAAAATTTAAAATTAAAGCTTTATTATTAGTTTTAAAATTATTTTAGTAATAAGAGGTTATGTAAAAGTATTTACATCTTCTGTCGTATTCATTTAATAAATAAAACTATCGCGAAACTTTATAAAAATTAAAATATGGTCCATATCTCTCATCAATTTTGATTTGATTACCTTGTTTATAAAGATTAGAAAACATGAGATTAAGATTTACAGAATACAGTCGACCCCTCACCCTATAACACTGTTGATAATTCCGTTTTATATGAATTCCATGTTGTACGAGTCACTTAGATTTTACAAATACGTGAGCCGTTCACAACCCGGCACATGTATTTGGATCACAACCCGGCACTTAGATTTTACAAATACATGTGCCGGGTTGTGAACGGCTCACGTATTTGTAAAATCTAAGTGACTCGTACAACATGGGATTCATATAAAACGGAATTATCAACAGTGTTATAGGGGGGTCGACTGGTATTTTACTTCATAATAACATAAATTATTTTAGCGAAATGACAAATATTGTAATTTGCATCGTCCCTAAACATACAAAAGACTGCTACTTTCTAAAAAAAAATGATTTAATACTGTAATAATTTTTCAGATAATCCACCTTCAACAAATATTTTAACTTAACATTTCAATAACCATATTCATTCATTTTTAGAAAACTGTCCTTCAATTTTCGAATGACAGATAATTAATTTTATACTCCAATAATATATATCAGTTCAGTGGTGCTGATAGATGGAATTCATTTTATGGTCTAGCAGGACATTTTGTTAGATCATACATAATTAAAAAAAGCTTTGATGCGTTCGTTTAATGATCACTTTTTCATTGAATTTATATAAAATATATTATTTTAGTGAAATTCAGAATTATATAATTTTAGAAATTAATTCAACCATCTTAACTGATGGTTCTACAAGTATATTCTTTTAAGGAACTGAATGGTTGTTACTATTATAATAACAGTTGTTATTATTATTGATTTTAAACTTTTAAATTTTTGAAGGTTAAGCTATACTTTAAAAATCTATTACTAATTTCATAGAACTGAACTAAATATAGTCTTTCCAACACCGCATTAATTTAAATAGCATATTCATTGTAGTTTTATAATCGATAGGGTGAGGTCCTACTAAATTTTGTTTACAAGTTCCACGTGTAAAAACGACATCAGCTATATTTACAGACTTTTATTTATTTTAATAAATGTATTCCATAATTTAAATTTGACTTCAAATATTTTACAGTTTATAATAAGTATAAAAATAGTATTTATATATATGTAATAACAATAGTAATAATACAGTAAAGATACAAAAGTCGCATTTTTAAATGTTAAAGTTAAATGCTTGCAAACTTTTTTAACATTAAAAAAATATATCCGAATTCTCGACAGAAATCGTGAGGTAAATAAACTTTTAATTATTATATATAGAAAAATGTAAATGTTTATAAATTAAAGTAGAATTAATTTAACGGTGATTTGTTTTGGGAAGCTCAAAACCATTTATGTAATTTAAGAAAAGCAACAGAATGCACTATAAGCTCGTAGGTGGGGCACTTCATTAGGTCATAAGTGTCCACACCCAGCAATATCAAGGACAAGCAAATCGATAATAACGATGCCGTTACACCCTAACAATTTTTAAAATAAAATTTAATTACGTAAGGAAATGAAGATGACATTAACTTCCATTTTTTAAATTACAGACCATCTTAGAAACGAATTCTTAAATCACTCGTGTCAAGTACTTCACTTGTTTTATGAAACTTCTAATAATTTGAGTATCGAAAAATAAACTTTTCTCGCAATTGTAACTGGCAAGTAACAATATAAATAAAAACGAATGATGAGTTTCCTTCGGCGAAATTGTATTATTAAAATAATAATAATAATAATAATAATAAACAATCGCCTACCTTCCTCTGTAATATAGCTTTAACTTCATGATCCAAGCCTTGTTGACAAGCGACCATTAACGAATTTAAACCAGCCGAAATGGGTCGTTGGCTCGGCGGTAGATCCATAACACGAGAGTGAAGCAACCTAAAAAGGTACAACAACCCGATCAGTTTTAATGGAATTCACTTTGAGTAATTGGAAAGTAAAATCCCACGAGAATCATTTTTCATACGCCTGCTAAGTTTAATAGAGAATTGTTCTTTCCTTAATTACGGGTATGCAGCCTCATTCCAATGATATAAATTTAATTACCACGGGATGATATATGAGAAATTTATTTTCCTCAACAATGTGGGCTTACACAATTATAACTGTTTACGGGAAGATGCGCGTGCTACTCGCATGTTTAATTCTCTCCACGACACAGCTCATGTTCGGCTTACTAATTCATTTACATCGTGCGCTTAATTAATTATTCTGTCTTATTTGAGCAGAAATTCTTGTTGTAAGACAGAAACGAGTTGGATAATGCATTTAACTTTCGATGTTAACGCATTCATCCATAAATTTGTAATAAATTACGTCATAATAGCGTAAGACAATCCGACATTTTTTAAAAAAAAAAAAGTTGCTTATTTTTAAATAAATGAACGTTTATCGACCGGGTAATTTCACTTACCGATGATGATTCCGTCGCCTTTGAACCGTGACGTCATCCATGTTGACTACAAGGTTGACGCACGTCCTTCGTTATCAAATAGCTTACCTGATATGTTTTTGGCTATTCCTTCGTCGGTGACCGAATTGCCATCCGAAATCCCAACTACGCGATGTTGTCGATACGAGGTAACCATGACTACCATACTAACTTGACGTCACCAGACATGTTTTTTTCATAACCATAGCAACCACGTGAATTTAGACAATTTTTCCATTTTAAATTTTCGTCCACATTAAAAAAAATAAATAAATAATATTTATTAAACTGCGTATTTATTTTCGCATTGTAAACGTTTTACAGAAACGATCAATTATATCAATGTTTACCAACGATCTACATTTTCCATAGCTTTAAGTAGACGAGTCGGGTCATTCCAGATATCGTCCGACCAAATGTTATTGTACGACGGAGAATCTATGGGAAAAACATCGCTATCGCTCATTAAACGGACTTTAATAGCCTTTAAGGGGATTTTTAATTTATTCTTCGCTTCCTTATCATCTCGGATTTCTACTTTCTTCTTCCCCTTCTTCTTTTTACGATTTTCCAATTCGGAAGAGGATAATCGAAGGCATAAATCAGCGTGGAATTTCATTAAATCCGAAACTTTCTTTTTGCTTATAGTTTCCAGATATTCTGACTTTTCTAAAGTTTCCAGTAAATTTAACTGCTCCTTCAGCATTTCGATTAAACGCGAATTAGCGCGATGCTTGGTCTGTTTTCTTAGTCGCGATTCGATTGATTTTAACTTTCTTTCGCACGCTCTCATCATTTTAACATCAGCATTTCTGTTTTGCAAGCGTTTCTTTAACGGCGGGCTTTCATTTTCCGGATAAATTGAATCCAATAAACTGATCGATTGATCGCCGATTGATGATTGACTAAGATTCGATTCGGATATCGTTTGACCATTAGCGACAACGTTATCCTCGATAGGATTTTCCATTAGATTATCGAAAGACTGTAAAGTAATTGTTGGAGATATGCCCATTTCGGTTTCACCGTTCAAATAATCTAATAATTCAACGGTGTAATATAAATCCGGTTGAGAATCATCCACAACCTCATACACGTCTCCATCCGCATTCGGACTTGCCTCCATTTTGATCACGTGACTATAATACAAGCCATAGAAATCGACTTTTTTTTTTTTTTTAATTACTTAATAGCATAAAATTCTTTGTCGGTATGATATTAATAATTATAATTTTTCAGCGATTATTAACATTTAACACGGCGACGGGAAAGTTATATATTTATATAGGTATATTTTACAGACGCATCATTCAAAACAAATAATTCTTTATTATAATTGAAAATTTACAAAATATCTGTCGTATTATTGTTTTAAATTTTATTAAATATATATTTACGTATTCCTTTAGTTTTTGAAATGTATTTTTAAATATATTTAATTCATTAAAATAAAACAAAAATCAACATGCTATAAAGTTTGTATTTAAATTTTGTTTACATAGTAATTTCATGTGTACTGTGTAAACTATACAGAAAATTATATCAATTAAGCATATTTTTCGATTATAAAGACAGACATATTACATTATGAATAAATAATTTTTCATATACTTCTAACAGACTGAAATTTAAACATACAGTATTTATGCATTAATTGTGAACAAATTAAACATTCACTTTATTTTTTAGTAAATAACTTCTAAAAATAACATTTATCAATTGTAAAAAAAAACTTTTTTGCATTAAATATATTGATAGAAGAACTGGAAATGCATAATAACCACTATTTCTCCTTAAAATGAGTGTTTGCATTCCCAGTACTTCTAAATCAATCTGTTTGAATTCACAAAAATTGGTTTCTATAATATAAATCACAGTGACAGATGAAGGTTCTTCCTTATCTGATATAACATATTTGTATAATTCTAAAATAATTAAAAAAAAAAATTACTTTTGGTTAAATAGTTAAAAATCACAGATATATTATACATAAATTTTTCGTTAAACAGAATATAATACCTTATATTTAAGGTTCAAATAAAAACGAAGTTGTAATATTTGTTTACTAAACTTTCATAAATAAATGTTTTGATCTTTGAACAATGTAAATCTAACTTTTCCAATTTAATATTAAAGTTTTGAATTTTCAACAATTTAAACAGTAAAGACTTCTTCTCTACATAAAATCCACTATTCCTTCTTGGAATGAGTGTTAATAGAAGAGAAGCCTTCCTTCCTAGATATCACTAAATAATAGTGTACAGATACTGTACAAAGCTACAAATACAGCACCAATTGAATTATTTCCTGTAAATTTAATACAGAATTGTAATAGTCAGTGTATGACTTAGAATTATATATTAATTTACAGTGATTGTTTAAATATAGAGTAATGCTGTATCTAGTGCCGAAATTTTTTACGTGCAAATTAGTGTGGCTCATCTTCACCTTTTCCATTGAAGAGTATGATGCTAATTTCTATGGCACCAATTTACAGTCTGAGCAATTTTTCTAATAATTCAGTCATCTAGCCTTTCTTCTTGCTATAATTAAAAGTAAAATCACAAAATAATAGAATATCTAAACATTGATTTCATTTATATATGCAGCTTCTTTATAAGGAACAGTTATTTTGAAAATCTCTTCATGCAGTTTATTACTCTGGTAACTATCAAACAGTGGATTGGTCAAGCTGAATTCCTAGGGAAATAAAAACAACATAATTTTATTAATTTATAGTTAATATTTCAAATAATTCCATATAAAAATTGTAATATATGTTACTTAGTTATAAACTAAGTAAAAAGGGGTTAAGGAACGAAACAAAATGCTTTTGAAAACTTCTGGTTTAATCTTAAATTCAAAAATTTTAATTGAAACTTTATATTTTTAATGTTCTAATCCTGAACAACTTTAAATTTCAATATATATATATATATATACAGTAAAACATCTCTAACTTGAAGTTCCAAGGGACAGAAAAAACTTCATTAGAGGACAATACAGTAAAAAAATGCCAATTCTGAATAGATTTGTACTTTTACCTTTCTTGCATTATATAAAGAATCTGATAATTTTTTTTTGTTTTAAATAGGCTGTGTAATACCTTTCAGCAAAATGTTCAATGTAACTAATGGAATTGAACAGTTTACAGGTATATCTCGTTGAGATAAAGAGAGAAGACCTCTTGTTTTGGACTGGAAGATTGTCTGAAAATTGTTGTTTGGAGAGTAGCTACAACTAACTGTCTGAAAATTTCATGGAAATTCAATAATTAGGATAACTTTGGATAGAATAAATATTAAAATTTGAGTCAGGGAAGTTGAAAGTAATATAAATCCATGTCGGCAGACCATAAAAAAATTCAACTTAGAGAAAATTTCAGTTAAGAAATTCAAGTTGGAGATATTAAATCCCTATGCTATTCCATTGAGACATACCAAGTGCTTCATTTTCTTAGAGTTAAATACGTTTGAATTAGAGAAATTTTACAGTATTTATAAGAAAATAAAAATTACTGCTTATATGTATATGAAATCAAAATATATTTATACATAAAATAAATTTTTTTATCATCTTATAACTTATTTATTCATTATGTACAGTACATTGTGATTGTAATTTATATAAGACTGTTTCCCAGAGAAATGCATAAAAATAAAGAAATAGGTCAATTAAAACCAATTATCTTTTAGAAAGAAATTAAAATTCAAGGGATTGCATTTCATGAATGCATAACAACATAACAATTTTTCACTTAATTCATCTATCTACATTGAATACAGAGAAAGTTTTTTAGTATTAAAAAATAAGATATCAAAACTTTCATTTTAAGAAAAATTTACAGACTATTTAACTGAAAATTACCTGTATAGTAAAAATATATTTTTAAATTAATATCAGACAGAAACACCTAAACCTAATACCTTCTGAACATTCAACGTGCATACTTTGAAACTGTCATGCAGGCCAATGGTTTGCCATCACTGGACTATGTATGCTATTCTATACTATTTCATAGTTCCCTGAGTTACTTCAACACTTATAAGAATAGTAAACTATGTGTTTTAAATTAGTATGCATTGTAAATGTGAGCAGTTTGTTTTAGAAGCAGATTTTAATTAACTTTTCTTTCATCCTTACAAATCTGCAATGTCATACAAACAAAAAGACTAATGACAAAATAAAGCCAAAGAGAGCGATGACTAGAATTTTAATTTCATCTTCAAGAGACTGTTTACAGGAAGATAAATATATCAACAGTTATGATTCTCATTTTTGTGTTGAAAATGAGTCAACCATACATTAAGTACACAAAGCAAAATTGGAAATGCACTAGCATTTTAATCCCACGAAACAAAAGCTGCAGAGATTATAAGAGATCTAACCATTAAAAAAAATACTGGGATTTCATTGAGACTGCAGAATCAGACACTAAAGAATGTCCCTTTTGATTAGTTCTATTACCCATGATAAAATGAAATGTCTGTTTTGTCATTTTAGTGCAAGTACATCAAGATTAACTATGTTTAAATTCCTTCTGAATAATAACTTCAAAAATTTGAGAGGAATTAAAGAATGCATGTTGTGTTATTGGAAATTGTTGCATTACTTCCAAAATAAAAGCAAGAGTCAAAAATTACACCTTTTTTAAAAAAGAATAAATAAGCACATGCAAGTTATAATAATTTTTCAACCTTTGAGATAAAATAAACAATGTATTTATATGATTAGAAAATGAAACCACATTTTCACACATTCTTTTAATCCCCAAGCCTTATTTTTCAATGTATTTCTCCTTTTAGTATTTTCAGTTTCTATATTAATTGCAATTTTGCAGAACATTAATGTTATCAACTGACTAGAATCATATGCCAATATTTTTGTTGATATCTAATTTTAATAGATAAAATTATCCTATTCTACAATAATCTATCGAATTCATGAATACAGTGGTACCTCACTTCAAGCATTCACAAGTTTGAGCATTAAATTCAAAAGAAATTTGATCTGGAGTTAGAACACTGCTTCTGTGTGTGAATTGTGAGCAGAGTGAAAAATGTGCTCGCTGTGTAAATGTCATCTGTTGTGCATTCAAGTTGTCTCTCACACTCACTGAGAAAGTATCTCTTGCATTATGCTTGAATGTTTTCAGTGTGTGCTATATATATATAATCCCTACCTATTAACCATGGTATCCAAGAAGAGTATGGAAGCAACAAAGCCTAAGTGGAAGGTTGTAGCAATGATTGAGGTGAAAAAGGAACTTATTTCAAAATAATACAAATGTGGATGTCAAAGTTGATGGTGTGTAACCAGTAAATACAGTTTTCATTTTATTACACGGTATTTACGTGTTNAGTTTATCAAAATGGATATTCATTAGAATCTGAAAATGGATTAATTCACTTTCCATTATTTCTAATGGAAAAATTGATTTGGACTTAAAGAATTCAGAGTTCAAATGGCATCCTGGAATGAATTAAATTTGAAGTATAAGGCATCAATGTATTTGCTTAATATATTCTTATAAAGATACTTACTACATAAACTAAAAAAGTTTGAAACTATATAAAATTAGTAATTTGTTTTGAAAAATAGATTATCTAATCAGACATGATAACAGAACCATATGTGAATTTTACTGAAGATCATAATTTTATATTACATATCAATTAATATGTGAAATCCAGTTATTAAAAAAGAAAGTTCATAGAAAAATCTTAAAATTGACTGAAATTTAAAATTGATTTGTAGGATTTCTTAAGAATTCAATAATACATATTTAGAATTTATTATTTTCAATTTTCAATTCTGAATGTTGAGTATATGGAAAGATGTAATTAGTTATATCAGTCATATTTGTTTTTGGTACCAAATCAGTTATGAATTGTCAACTCTTTCCACACAATTAGCATTTGTACCACTTGATTATTTAGAAAAACTTAATACCCATAAAGTTTAATTTAACTGTTTAACTTTCTTATTGAAAAAATTTTCTAATAAAATTCTTTAAACATAAATATTTAATAGTATTATTTAACTTTTAATGCAAATTTTAAAGTATACAATTAGATACTAATTGTATTAATTTATTATTATGTAAAGTTCAATTAAATTTTACATATTTTACATATAAGAGAATAATAAAAATTCATTATTAGTTTTTATTCATTTGTATTCTTAGTAACCCCATAAAATAAAAACTTCATTTGAATATATATTCTTCTTACACAAGAATATGCATAATTTATTAATATATGAAAGAGTAGTCAATATTTTACATCTATCAAAAAATAATTAAAGATAAAAACTATTATAATAAAATTTATTTAAAATTCTTTAAATAAATTTAATGTAAATACTTTATTAGTGAAACAAAATAATTTTTGTTACAATTAAAATAATTGGAAGAGTGAACACAAAGTTAATCAGTTTTCAGTATAAACTTTGATACTAAATAAATTTCCAATCTGTTTTCTGTAGATATTAGTTTTGTTTTTCTTGAAATTTACAAATTCTGTATATAATGCAGAGAAAAAAAATCTTAATTATCAATTTTATTTTTATCACAGTATTCAGTCAATTTAGATTTAAGGAAATGTATTACTATTTATTAATATATTAGCTTAATATATTCTTAAAGCTATAGACTCCTTTTACAGCATTTTGGTAACCTTGTATATTTAAGATTATTCTGTCAACAAATTATGCAATAATCTAATTAGTCTAACTTTCAGTAACTATATTAAACTATGTAAAGTATTACTTGTTGAATGAAAATCTGTACATACCCTCAGTTCTGAACTATATTGTATCCATGTTAGCATGTTAAATAAATTAATAAAAATTTTAAAAATCAACAAAGCTATGGAATTTAACTTTAAGAAAAATTAGTCCCATTTATTTTTGAAAATACAGTAGAATCTGCTTATTGTAATCCCTTTGAGACTTGCCTGTATTAACTAATGACAATAATTGATTGATAACATTAAGCAGATTAAGTAAATAATACTACAGCTACTGAAAATTTTGATTTTATTCACTGATGTTAAAAAGACATATTAAAACAATAAAAAAAAATAAATGTATAACTTCAAATATTTATTAACTACAATTAATACTAATTAGTTGTAATTCATCTATTATATAAGAAGTAATAAATACCAAAGATTTAATTCACTTTAATGTGAGTAATAATTAAAGCAATAATTAATTAATTAATGAATAATTAATTCTTTAAACAAAACATTTAATACTTAAAGTGCAGATTATGGCTAATAATGTTGACTGGTAAAGTTTGTTCATTATCAGCCAAATGTTGAGATTGATGGTGCAAAAATGAAGCATAAAAATGTTTATTCAAGCCTGGCTACTGTTTTGTAAACAAAACCTTTAAAATCCAGCAAATATTTACTGAATTTTAAATGTTCTGGAGATTACAATAAGTATAACCAAAACTCTGGTTACAATAAGCAAAGTTTTATAAATGTATTTTAACTTACATTTTGGAAAGTATTAATTCTATCATCATTAAATGACTGATAACAATAAGTGGATTCTACTGTAGCTGTATAATATCTATCACTAAAAATTACAATCAAAATTAATTTTAAATAAAATTTTTATTGACAATTATGAAAAACCTAGTGAAGTGATGAAATTTATAAAGCATTACTGAATATTAAATCTCTCTTCAATTCATTTTCTCATTCAATAATCTTTTGTCTGGTATAAAATATTATTTTTATTTGAATGTNTACTAACAAATTTAATAAACATTAAAATAAAAATTCATAAATATAATATTTTGTTATTTTGTCACATAAAATGATCTGGTCCTATGAAAAAGTTCATACATTCATTGACAAAAAATTTACATGCCCACATAGAATTGTCCTGCGATATAGCTATGTATTGAGCAAGTATTTAAATGATTACAGTTACGGTTTGATTGCATACCAAATAATGCCACAAGAGTGCTTTAAAATTACTAACTTACATCATATGTGACAATTATGAAAAACCTAGTGAAGTGATGAAATTTATAAAGCATTACTGAATATTAAATCTCTCTTCAATTCATTTTCTCATTCAATAATCTTTTGTCTGGTATAAAATATTATTTTTATTTGAATGTATAGGTTGAAATAAATGATATTAATTGAAAATATAATCAGTTTGATTTGTAGATAAACAAATCGGAGCTAATTAAATCAATATTAACTACATTTAAATTTTCAAAATGAAAGCAAAAATGTACAATTTCTAATTACTAATATTTTTATATATGAATAAGATAATTAAATGTATATTTCATAAGTTAGTTTAAGATATGATTTAAATGTTTAAAATGTATTATTACCTCTTCACAACTACCATTACAAAATGAAGATTCTCTAGTCATATTTGTTGTACAGTTCCCAGTATAAGGATGAGCATATCTTTTAATAAAAGGCAAACTGAAAAATGGATGAAGATTCTGACATTGTCTCCTATAAGAAAATTCAAATGATTAGAACTTTTAAATTCAATTATTGTTTGAAAAATCTATATATATGTAAAAAAATTACCTTTGGTAAAGTGTAATGCCAACCATAATAAATATCAACACTAATATAATACTGATTATTATTAAAATGATTGAAAAAGCTGAAAGAAAAGTTAAATAATAATTAATAATTTAATAAAAATTAATAAAGAAATTTTCTTCAATATTTCTTAAATGATTATGTACACTTACTTGCTATTTCAGAATTATGAGAATACGATTCAGAAGCTATATGAACTCCACATTGAGATGTAATATTTTCAGCACAACTTTAAAAATAATTGTTACATATAAATTATCAATATTTAATTCAAATTTGTAATTTTATAATAAATAACTTACAAGCATTGTTTTTTCTCTTTTTGTGGATTGCATATATCTCCATTAAGACAGTATTCATAACAATCATTTGTTGGAAAAGATGTTTTTGATCCTATTTCTGTTACAACAGACATACCTGTAAAAAATTTATTTTATTTTACTTGTGAAACATTTCATATATATAAAGGCTACTCTGTAATTCTAAAAGTTAATTTTAAGAAATAATTTTTTATTTTAATAAGATTAAAATTTCAGAAAAATATTTTCAGACTATCTTAATTTAATACACTTTTGAGATTAGCTACAATAAGCTAATCTCAGAAGCTAAAAATAAGCATGAAATTACTTTAACTGACTAACAAATCTTTTTTACTACACGTCTTAGAGACGGGCAATTCAAGATAATTGGCTATTTTTTTTTTTTTTATAAATATGAAATTTAAAAATGTATATCTATATTAGAACATGTTGAAACCACTATATAAAATTCAAAAAAATTTATTTAATAAGATAACATGTATCCTTATGTCATTTATGAAGCTAATTATTTTCACTATGTAGTATTTTCTGTAATAGTTTCTTCTTAATAAGTATAGATAATTATCTAATAGTTTTTCTTAATTAATGAAAAGAAACTGAATATCTAATAAGATTTTGAATATTTATAAGAGTGATTACTTAAAAGTATAAATAATTTAAAGAATTTATATTATATGCATAGTTTTAAGTTCTTGGGTTTTAAATTAATAATTTAATTTAAAATATTTATACCAAATTAAAAGTTGTTATATCATCAGATCCAGCCATAAAGATTTATCAAAAACTTGAATTCAGTTTGTCTGTCTTAGAGGTTTAATAAAAAAAATTCATAACTTGCATTGTATTTGTATCAGACTAGAATTCAGTGTGTATTTTATGTTGACATTTGTGAGAAATACTATCTTGTCTCTGCAGTGACTAGCAAATGCACAGAATGGCAAAATAGGTGCATGTTAATTAAGGGCCACAGTGACTGGAACAAGTTATTTTAACATGCTGCAACTTATGCTAGCCCTAACATCCTCCTGGAACCATTTTTCAATAATACATGTTGCCTCCCTACTTTGCAATTTACTGTAGATAAAACAATTGATGAATGGAGTTCCTCAGATGGTAGATTGGTTCTTACCCTCACTTGGAATTTTTCTTTTAGGATTTTGTAAATAATCAAGTGTATCATACATCTATGCATAACTTGAATGATTTGACACAGAATCTGTCAGACTATTGATAAAGTTACATCTCATGTGCTATTGAATATTTAGTTGAAGTGGACACTTTCTAATAATGTACTTTATACTAATAATGTTATTTGTAAAGATCCAGCAGATAGAATTCATGGACCATTCTCCATCAACTCAGTTGAGTCTATTTGGTGTAAATATAATTTATTGACCGAAATAATTAATGTTATCCCTCCTCCTAAAAATTAATTTTATGTATGAAGTTTTCAAATAAATAAATATTTAGTTGAAGTGGAATACAAGTTGGACATCTGCTACATCACTGTTGGTGCACTTTTGAAGTGTGTTTGAATGTAAAAAAAATTCTGCCAGAAGTTTTCATACTAGAAGACATAATTTAATTTAATAAAAAGTTGTTAAGTTTTCAATTTATACTCTTTTCTTTTATTAAACCTCAAAGCCTAACACCCTGCTTTTTGTAATTTAAATTATTCACAATAAATTTTTATGACTGATCTGTAACTCAGGAATTTTAATAATGAAATTATTCAAAATCTTAAAGAAAAATTTGTCAAATTCTTTTGGATTACATTTCATAATTGTTGACGACTCAGCAAAAAGACCCATTGGCTGTTGTAAATTACTTCTTATAATAGCAGGACCTTTTCCAGTTGATTTTTCTGTTTGTAGCAAAGCACCAGTTTCCCAATCAGTCCAATAAAGAAAACTACCATGAACAACAATATCAAATGGATGATGGCCTGTTCCTTCAGATATAATCTACAAGAATAAAATAAATGTATTTGTATTCTGCCAATCTATACAAAATTTTAGCTGTAATTTTAAGCTGAAAATTAAAAAAATAACATTCTATCTAATTTTCAAACACAAACATTATTTAACTATAGTTTCATAGTTTAGCTTACCCTTCTTCTTGAACCATCAATATCACAATTCCAAATAACATAACCATCCTTTTTAGCATCAGCCCAAAATAATGTTTCTGAAGAAAGATCAAGTGTTAAACCATTTGGTCTTATAATATTTTCAGAAACGATTACTTCTCTTTGAGCACCACTAAAATAAGATCTTTCTATTTTGGGTGTATCTTCTCTCCAATTTGTCCAAAACAAATACCTGAATTAAAAAAAAACATTTTTTACATTATTATTTCTAATTAATTAAATAATTTATACAAATAAAACTAGCTTACTAGATATTATTTATATATATTATAGATGTATACAGTATAAGAAAGATATTAGATCGATGTAAATTTTAAACTACCATTTTCAAGTGTTCAAGTTGATTTAGAGAAAAAATTCTTCTGAGAAACATTTTCTCTACTACTATGATTGATTTATTTAAAGTATTCTCAGAAATTACACTAGAAAAAGCAATTTAAAGTTAAAATAAAATTTCTCTTTTTCAAAACACATATTTTGTAAATTATAAACAAATTATCAGTTTTGATTCTCTCTACAGGCTTAATTGAAATATATCTTCTACATTAAAAAATAAAGATAAAAAATTCTATGAAAATTTTAACCTGGAAGTCAAGTTTGAAAAGAAACAATATAATAGAATTTTTAAAACAATCATTGTGATCAACCCATATCCAGTAGTATTTACTACTTAAAAATTGCCAAAAATTTTAGTAATTTCAAAAATTAATTCATAATGTTTTCTCATTACAGTTACGATATTATTGATATACACATATTAAGACATTTCATATGCATAACATATCTTTCTCACCACCTTTTTTTTGGCATAATATAATCATAAAAAATATTTTGATTCATTAATGCAGATGTCTAAGGATATCATTTTTCTATGATTAATACAAATGTTTCAAATCAGATAAAACTAATGATTTCCTTATAATTTTAATTTTCCAAGAAACTGCTATCAAGATTGAGTTTTAATTAAAGATTAAGAAATAAGGATAAAAAATATTAAAAATAATACTGGACATAATAAAAATAGTGTAAAATTTTTAGCTTATTTTTCATTATTATTTAATCTAAAATATCTTCTCATGTTTGTCATTAAATTTCATTATTTCTATCGCTTTATAGTTTTATATCTGATAGAAGTAGGGAAGAATAAATGTAGAGAAAAATTGTTTCTTTTTTCAAAAATCAAACAAAAACTGAAGTTCTACAGTAATAAAAGTTATTGGTTATAGCACATTTTTATTTTTGTTATTTACAATTAATTAAAAATAAATAAAAAAAAACCATTGTTAGTCAAATTACTTAGAACATTCCTCTTATTTATGCACCATAAATGTACATAGATTTGCAACAAGTGTAATGATAGTCTTCGTCTCGATTTATAACAAGAGTTATAAAATTTCCGTAAACAAATAAACCAAACCAAGCTTGTGGCCAATCAGAGAATAGCAACATTAATTGCAAGTATTACTGTATTGCAAGAGATATTTATCAACTGCAATTTATGCTATCAAAATAGTCACTGAGCTTTGAAATTATAATTGATACTTCAGTCCTTAGTTTGATATATAGATGTTTTGGGAGGAAATTATATGAGATAAACATGGAAAATGTATTGAATTCAGGCTGAAAATGAAGGGAAAAAAATAAATTTTGAGATAAAGAGGTTTTTGAGATAAACATGTTTGAAATAGACAGGTTCAACTGTATTAACTATATATCTTTAGTATTCACTCAAAACTGTATTAAATATTGTTTCTCTCATCAGTTAGAATTGGCTTTTTAACTTGCTTGCTTTTGAATATATATTTTATATTTAAATATTCATCATGTTGACCCATAAATAAATAAACGTTAAGATCATAACATTTATTTTAATATATTTATACTCATCTTTCTTAAATTTGTAAAAATGCATATTTAAAACTGTTCAATTGGTGATAGTAAAATATATTTTTTGTGTTCCTCATGTTTCTTTATCCATTTATTATTAAATTAGAATTGAAAATTCAGTTTTACAGTCTGCATTTTATGCAATTTTAAACATCTAATTTTTTATAAATTATATATCTGTAATTGTAATTTAAATTAAGATTTCACTATATGTTAAATTTAAGTTAAATTATTTTAATTTAAAACTTATATTAATTTAATAATAAAATTAACATTACAGATTGCAACTATCTAAAGTGATTCCTCGTGGTTTGTCATCATTATCTAATAGAAGAATAATTTCTGCTTCAAATGGTTGCCGTTGTATTTCACCACGTTGTTCCACTCGCAAACGACAAATAGAAGGTGTCTCGCTATCAGTCCAATACAGTTCTCCATGGATTTGGTCATAAGTTAAACCTTCTATGCATCTTACAGTATTATCTAAAATAAATTTATTACATAAGTTTTTATCAAATTATAAATATATAGTCAAAAAAATCATTAATTTTTTAAAATAATATATATCTCTTTTCCTAATACCTCCTGCTATATCTATTATGTCAATTAGTAACGGATAAAATCCAATGTACACATAAAACAGAACATATATGTCAATAAATTAAACTATTGAAGATTAAATGAATAGTTTTGAGGTCAGTATTATTTCAGTAAATTATACTTTCATATTATCTCAAAATAAATTAAACAAAATTTTACCTTTTAAGAGAGGTCGCAATCCAGTTCCATCTAATTTAATACTAAATAAATATGGCTCTTCATATAAATCACTAAAAAAGATTTCTTTTTGATATCTATCATATCCAAGAGCAATAATTTTCTCTATATTATGACCAACTTCTATAGCTGGTACTGGAGGATTTAGAGAATTTGGATCATCAAGAGACAATGCCATTATTGTAGTTTTCTCAGCCATGAGCATTAACTGTGTATAATCTAAAAAATAAATTGATATAATTATTTTAAAATATTGTTTCAGTTTTCAACCATTTAAATTAATAAAAAATGTCTTTAAAAATTTTAACCTAGACAACTATGCTGATCTGTTCCAAGTTTACTGTAAGAACAAGCACAAGTATACTTATTGTTGCCTTCATACAAGCATAAATGATCACAACTTCCTCTATACTTGCAGACGTTGGTACCTAGTTTTGTTTAAGTTTAAAGTTTAATGAAAATGGAACTATGGAATTAAATTTATATATTATTTAAATTTTACCTTTCTGAAGTCTTTTATCAAAAACTCTTAGTTTTCCAATATTTCTTCCATAATTTTGTTTTAAAACATTAAAATCACTAAAATTATTTTTATTCACTTGTATTATAGATCCATCTTTATAACTTCTGCAAAAAACTAAATATATTTAATTATACTGAAATTATGATAATATGAATGAAAAAATATATAAAAGCTATAGTTTAGTTATAAAATTTTATGTATTACCTGTCTGCAAAAAATATATAATTTGTATTAACAGCAACAGAAACTGGATAAGATACAATTCCTTCTTTTTGAGAGAGAATAACTTGCCTATTGCTACCATCAATATTTGATCTTTCTATAATACCAGATGCAGAATCTGTCCAATATATCATGTTTTCTTCATGATCTACCGTAATTGAACTTACATGTAATAAATCTGTTGAAAATAATACTTTTCTTTGTGACCCTGATAACAATGACCTTTCAATTCGTGTTTGAGAACCTGAATCACTCCAAAATAGATACCTAACAAATAGATCAGAATTTCAAAAATAAAGGAAACATTTTATATTTATACTAACAAATTTAATAAACATTAAAATAAAAATTCATAAATATAATATTTTGTTATTTTGTCACATAAAATGATCTGGTCCTATGAAAAAGTTCATACATTCATTGACAAAAAATTTACATGCCCACATAGAATTGTCCTGCGATATAGCTATGTATTGAGCAAGTATTTAAATGATTACAGTTACGGTTTGATTGCATACCAAATAATGCCACAAGAGTGCTTTAAAATTACTAACTTACATCATATGAAAAGACTTACAGAGGCTCACTATGTTCAGAATTTTCAATGAATCTGCTGTTTGGAGATCTTCAAACATTAGGCATGCCTGTACAGTGCAGTCAAAGACATTAATTACACAAGCTACAGGTTTTGAGAAAGGCCAGAGCTGGAGGAAGCAGAATGATCATTTTTCCAAACTGCCCTCCATCTGGGCTGTTCTCATTTGACTGGTACTACAGATTAAAAGGCTGTCAAAAGACTTAGCCTATATAAAGAGAGAAGGATGGGGGGAGGAAGGGGGTACAGGAAGGGGACAGGTAGGAGGGTTCAGAAGAGGAAGGGAAGGTAAAAGGGGGAATCACTCTTGTATCCTACATCGCATTCATCAAAAACTGCATACAATAATTATAATATACAGAGTGCCAATTTGGCTATTCTTGACATTAGGTGCTTGCAGATAAGACATTAGAGACACAGCAAAGCAATTGCATAAGGTACAACAAGTTTCAAGGGTTGAGATTCATTTGCAGAATACAAATTACAACACAAGTATTGCGAGTGGATGCTCTAAAGGCATTACAATCGGTGATGAATTTCGAGTATTTGTGAAATGTCTCTTTGCTTAAACAAAGGAAGTTAAGACTCAGTGGCCAGTTCTGACTGGTGTGGAGGCAGTATACAATCAGATCTTGTCTCTCTGCTTCGTAGCATGGACAGTCCAAGATTACATGGAATACATTGCCCAGTGAAGTCTCATCACAGCTGCAGTTTCCATTTGTCCTTTTGACAATGCGATTAAGGTAGGCTGGGAGGTTTCCATGGCCAGTCAGGCATTGCATTAGACCAGGGATCGCCAAACTTTTTTGATCGTCGACCCCCTACAACTTTTCAAAACCTCACATCGACCCCCACCAAAAAGTTTGTGTTACAAGCAAAAAAAAAAAAGCTCTTACTATTTTATTACATATCTTTTAATTTTACATTTTTTACATTTATTGTATATACATTAATAATAATTTTTGTAACTGACAATCAATGAGATGGATAAGCTTGATAATCCTTGGCAAGATTAGCAATATTTGGTTCAAAATTTGTAAGTTTTAGTCTTTTCATCGACCCCCAATAATGTTATATTGACCCTCAGGGGTCGATATAGACCACTTTGGTGACCCCTGCATTAGACTATAATTAGGTAAGAAGTAGGACATCTTCAGGCAGTCTGGCACCGAGGGCAGAAAACAGTAGGTTGTTCTACCCATGGAGGAGACAGTCCACTCGTCTTGTCAAGTATCGATTGCTGTTTCTTGAATATAGCTGTTTATATAACTGATTTGGAGTTGATGGAAGGAAGGTGTGAGGTTGATTTCCAAAGCCCTTTTGGCCAGGGCATCAGCTCTTTTGTTGCCACTGATGCCCTTGTGACTGGGGACACAGAAGAATGAGATGTTGCGTCTTTTTCTTAGGTTATAAGCTAAGTGTTTAGTTTTGATTCCAGTTGAAGTATAATTGCTTGTCCTGCTATGACACTTAGTACATAACAGCTGTCTGTAAAGAATTCTCATTTGATTGTGAACTGTTGAGGGCGATGAATAGATCAGGGCAATTCATAATGGACAAGCTCTGGATGCCTCAGACAGACTACCAGGATAGATGATCATCTGGAATTTGACACAAACACAAACAGCTGCAACAGCATATTTATCTACCATCCAGAGACAGGTGGAAGTCTAACTACAGAATCTTATCTCTTCCTGTATCATTAACAGGCACAGATAAATTGTATACATGGTGATTGCTACATGTTCTGACATTAACACCCCAACATGACCAGCTCTGCTTGCAATTATGCCATGATAGAAAACTGTTACAAACTGGCAATGAATCTCAGTTCTGTTTGGAAATAGATTACCACTATGTTAGAGTATGGAGAACCACTGGTGGGTGCTTCAATCTTGCGTTCATTGTTAAGTGGCAAATTGCTCCCACTGCTGACATGCTGGTCTGGAAAACCTTCTTATAAGACAGTTGATCATCCCTAATAGTGGTGCAAGAGACATTGATGGCACAGAGATATGTTCAAGAAATTGTGCATCCTTATGTATTATTTCTCATGGCATAGCTGCAGACGTTTTCAGCAAGATAATGTTAAGACATACGACTAGGATTTCCCAAGAATGTCTCCATCATGATTCCACATTTCCTTCACCTGTTCAGTCTACAGATTTGTTGCCTAAGCATTTATGGGAGCAGATGGTATGCCAGCTTTAGCCATCTATGGGTGTGAGGAATATTGAGTAGTAGCTGTAACATCTATGGGCAAATCTCTTGCAGGATAGCATATTATGCCCACTATGCCCAATCCTTTACTATCTTGTAGGACTTCCTTTTGCACTATCCAGGCAAAAGGAAGTCCTACAAGATAGTAAAGATTCCTTTAAATTGTACAGTTGTTTCACAGAAAATTGTTCCTTTGCTATAATATTATAATCACTAATTACCATTGGCGTTACATTTGAACTGATAAGGTTTCAATCAATTTCAATTCAGCCTCCTTGATGCATAACTTTTTTGTCAATGAATGTAAAAATTAAATATCAATATCATGTAACATTTCTTTCATCAAGTTCAATGTTTTGAAATATTGGCAGCATATGTTAGAATATCTTAAAGTTTAATGGTCATATAAAAACATCATGAAATCATTACTAATTCTTGTGGCAGTGATAGAGAAAAGGCAATCTGCCATTTACTATTCAAATTTTCAAAATTTTTATTTGTTAATTTATAATTTTTTTTAAGATTTTACAATCAACAAGGTATTCCAAATATTTAATATAATTTACAGGTGCCAAAATAATCTTTGCCAANATGAGTTAGTATAACTGAATAATTTTCATTAACAAAACAAAAAAACTTTCACATGAACAAAATAAATATCCTTATAATATAATAAAATTACAGTAGGCATTCAATTTAATGGGCTAATTAGGGAAAGGTGTGTCCACTGTTGCCAAAAGTTCATTAAATTGAATATGTTTTAAATAAATACAAGGTAGCTTCAAAAAGTTCCCAGAATTATGCTGGGTAGTCAATTAGAGATGATGAAAAAAGGGAGCATGTAATGCATGTGTTAGCTAAACATGTAAGGAATAGAGAAATATGTTCCCTTCTGAAGCATCTTCAATAGAGAAATATGTTCCCTTCTGAAGCATCTTCAAGGTCTCAGAGGAAAAACCCTCTGAGACCTTGAAGATGCTTCAGAATGCCTATGTTGAAATCTTCCATGAAGCATTCTGAAGTTTATGACTGGCAAAAACTCTTGTGAAGGAAGAGAGTATTGTTTTTGATTTGCAAATTGATTGTCTGTTGACATCAATGTCTGAGGAGAAAGTGTCGATTGTAAGTGAGTTTGTGAGGTCAGACAGAAAGCAGTCAGTTGAGCAGATCATCAAGTCAGCAGGAATTTCAGTTGGAAGTTATCATTCCATTCTGCATGATAAATTGAACATGCATGGTGCCATGAATGCTCACGACAAACCTCATGAGATTTCTACCTCTTCCCCCCCATTCCTTACCTTCTTGAAAGATGCCATCAAGGGATGCCATTTTCAGAATGAGGATATGGGATGAGGTTATACAGAGTACAACATCTATATTGCAGGTGCAGTCATGAGACAGCTTCCAAGAATGTTTCCAGCAGCTATACCAGCATTAGATAAAGTGTGTGATTGCCAAAAGACAATACTTTGAAGGACACATTGTTTGATTTGTTAATAATGCCCATACTTTTGAGTAATAAATCAATTCCGGGAACATTTTGAAGCTACCTTATATATATTAAAAATAAACTTACAATAAACAAGATCTAAAACGTTATAATAATTTATTCATACTTATAATATACATTGAATGTACATTGACTCATTGGTCCATCTTTTAGTGTGCTCTATATGGGAACTAAAAATAAATTTAAAAATTTTCCTTTAGGATAAATTTTTTGTCAGTTAAATCAAGGGTCTACTGTATTGCAATTACTTCTATACTAATGATATTGAAAGAGCTATATTTAACACAGAGCCTGTCAAATTATATGCAGTATGAAATAATTTAGTATTATTAAATAGATTTTATCTAAATTTTTTATTTTCAACTGAGCAAATTATTTTATTTACAAAATAATTTTTGTTGTTACTTAATAATTAAAAACATTCAAATCTTTTACTTACCAACTTTGGGCATACAGAAAATTTTATCAAATAATGGAATGACAACAGACTCACATCCAATATCAGGTTAAATATATATTTTTAAAATAAATTACTATTAAAATTACACAAGTTAAAAATTTATAAAAATTTACCTGAGATCCAATCAATACTTATTTGTTTAATTTCACCTTCAAAAGATGCAATAAGATGTTTATGAGTGCCATCTCTTTTAATAGAAAAAATACCTCCAATCTTATGATCTGTCCAGTAAATTGTTTCATTTCTTATAATGATGTCAAAATCATCATTTAATGACATGTCAAACAATTTAACTGGAAACAGATTCCAATTTACATTTTCAGATTTAATTTGAAACCCTTCCAAGATACCATTATGTGAAAAAGTCAGAAAGTTTCTTCCATCTATTAAAAAGTAAAAAAAATTATTCTAATTTTATAACAGCTACATTAAATATATTTATATAAAACTTATAGATATATGAGAAATCAGACACTCTTTTAAGAATTTTAATAATAAAAGGCCATTTAGAATTTTCTTTCGTCACTATTTCCCTTATTTCTCCCATTTTCACCCCTTTATCCAGGTCACAAGGTCTATTTCCCAGACAATGTACTGCATAGTTTCAAAGGGTGACCACCTAAATGGGTAAGTCGTCCTAGTCAACCGCGGAAGAACTCCCCTCTCCCCAGGGGATTGCTCGATGCTAAGATATCGGCAGTGTGCAAATAATTAACCATGTTACTGTATGGAGTGACCTTGCAGGTCAACTACAAGGGTAGACCATACGGTGAGTAACTATATCACGTTACCAAGGATGGCCAGTCATCTCCCCAGGTGATTACGAATTTAATACTAATTGGTCAAGAGATGTCTATATAATGTTGTCACCCATGATGGAGGAGACGGTAATAAATCTGGAGAACTGTCAAATTCAAGTAAACAACACACGCTGCAAAGACAATTACGTCAGCAGGGTCCCAGATTTTTCCCATGTTAATCGGGTATAAAAGGAGATCGCTCCCGCACCTCCGGGCGATCGTTGGGGGAAGAAGCCAAGGATTGGACTCCTCAAGCCTTCTCTGCCTTTGGAAACTTTGCAGCTTCTGATCGCCGCTCCAAACGAGGTAAAGACTTAGAATATTTTTGCTTCCCTCTCTCTCGGGTCAGATAGGGACTTAGAAAATAGTTGTCTCTCGGTTTAGGTTGGGACTTAGAAATAATTCACTTCTCTTGGCTTAGTCTAGACTTAGAAATAATTAGCTTCTCTCGGTTTAGTTTAGACTTAGTAAGTTATCGGATTGAAGACCTTCGGCGGTCCCACAGACAGGAAAGACGGACATCAGCCGTCTATTATTGTTGCAACGCGGAAATATTATTATTATCATTATTACTTTCTTCTTGTTGGAATTTAGAATGTATTTGCATGTATTTGTATCATTTGTTTTATATTAAATATGTTATTCTTAATTTTAATAATGAGTCATCTTAGAGTAATGCCGACGCCTCATCACGACTTCACTACCCCTCCCCACTCAGTTAACAAGGCCATCCCTGACAATGAAGCCGATAAGTGGGGAGAAGCTCGCCGCTTCACAGATATAAGAAATTCAAATTTTTAAAATTATTAAGCCTTTCATTTAAATACATTTAAATATATTATTTAAAAATAAAAACTGAAATCAAAATAAGATAAATTTTTTATTTCATTTTCCTGCATTTTAACATTCAGAAAATTTCAATACAAAATTATTTAGATAATGGAATTAAGTTCTCTCTCTATTGAAATTTAAATAAACTTCTTAATATAAATCAGTCTACATATATTAAAAATGTCTGTTTTCATGAGTTTTGTGTCATTTGATCATATTTTTATTTTTAAAAGCTGCATGTTGACCATACTTCATATTTTCCTTAGCAGAAAATAATTCTTTGAAAAATAAAATATCTTAGATTGCTGAATGATAATTATTTCAGTTTTGAATTTATAAAATTTCAAATAGTTTTAGTACTTTAATATAAATAAATTTTAGGTTTATGAGTTAGTATAACTGAATAATTTTCATTAACAAAACAAAAAAACTTTCACATGAACAAAATAAATATCCTTATAATATAATAAAATTACAGTAGGCATTCAATTTAATGGGCTAATTAGGGAAAGGTGTGTCCACTGTTGCCAAAAGTTCATTAAATTGAATATGTTTTAAATAAATACAAGGTAGCTTCAAAAAGTTCCCAGAATTATGCTGGGTAGTCAATTAGAGATGATGAAAAAAGGGAGCATGTAATGCATGTGTTAACTAAACATGTAAGGAATAGAGAAATATGTTCCCTTCTGAAGCATCTTCAAGCAGAAATATGTTCCCTTCTGAAGCATCTTCAATAGAGAAATATGTTCCCTTCTGAAGCATCTTCAAGGTCTCAGAGGAAAAACCCTCTGAGACCTTGAAGATGCTTCAGAATGCCTATGTTGAAATCTTCCATGAAGCATTCTGAAGTTTATGACTGGCAAAAACTCTTGTGAAGGAAGAGAGTATTGTTTTTGATTTGCAAATTGATTGTCTGTTGACATCAATGTCTGAGGAGAAAGTGTCGATTGTAAGTGAGTTTGTGAGGTCAGACAGAAAGCAGTCAGTTGAGCAGATCATCAAGTCAGCAGGAATTTCAGTTGGAAGTTATCATTCCATTCTGCATGATAAATTGAACATGCATGGTGCCATGAATGCTCACGACAAACCTCATGAGATTTCTACCTCTTCCCCCCCATTCCTTACCTTCTTGAAAGATGCCATCAAGGGATGCCATTTTCAGAATGAGGATATGGGATGAGGTTATACAGAGTACAACATCTATATTGCAGGTGCAGTCATGAGACAGCTTCCAAGAATGTTTCCAGCAGCTATACCAGCATTAGATAAAGTGTGTGATTGCCAAAAGACAATACTTTGAAGGACACATTGTTTGATTTGTTAATAATGCCCATACTTTTGAGTAATAAATCAATTCCGGGAACATTTTGAAGCTACCTTATATATATTAAAAATAAACTTACAATAAACAAGATCTAAAACGTTATAATAATTTATTCATACTTATAATATACATTGAATGTACATTGACTCATTGGTCCATCTTTTAGTGTGCTCTATATGGGAACTAAAAATAAATTTAAAAATTTTCCTTTAGGATAAATTTTTTGTCAGTTAAATCAAGGGTCTACTGTATTGCAATTACTTCTATACTAATGATATTGAAAGAGCTATATTTAACACAGAGCCTGTCAAATTATATGCAGTATGAAATAATTTAGTATTATTAAATAGATTTTATCTAAATTTTTTATTTTCAACTGAGCAAATTATTTTATTTACAAAATAATTTTTGTTGTTACTTAATAATTAAAAACATTCAAATCTTTTACTTACCAACTTTGGGCATACAGAAAATTTTATCAAATAATGGAATGACAACAGACTCACATCCAATATCAGGTAAAAAATGACTATCTATAAAAATTCACTCAATTAATGATAATTAAACTATAATTGCAATAAGAATGGTAATTTTTATTTTATAGCATTTACCTTCAGTTATCAGAGGATCAACAGTAGTCATATAAATAATAGGTCCTCTTATATTTCCAATTATTTTTGAATCATTATTTTTTGATACTTTATAAACCTGTTCTTTTAATACATATATTATAAAATCATGACCACTAGTTACAGATGATGGAGTCAGCTCACTTATGGTTTTAATTAACCTTCCTGAATATGACGTACACATAAGACCACCTGAAGTAGTTGCTATCCAGCAAAGTTTTCTCAGGCCAGGCTGAAGATAAATATCTAAATAAAGAATTTAAAAATTTTTTAAATGACCAATTTCCAAATAAATATTGTCTCTATTTAAAATACAATATTTCATGTATAAAAATATTTTTATAACAATTATAAAATCATAAACATTTTTTACTTGTTTAAAAGATTTATTTTTTTGCATTTTAATAATTGCATATTATAATAAAACTTATATTAATTATATAATAAGTTTTGCAAGATTTTGAAATTTAGACATTGCAGACATCATCAAAAAGATTCAAATAGCTAGAAATTTGAGAATAACAGAAGATATGAGAGGCCTAGAAATATTTTAGAAAGGAATAACATACAAACAAGATGGAAGATTACAACTCAGGTAATTGAATTAAACAGAAAATATAAAACATAACAAAAATAAAAAGTTATTATATATATGTATATATATAACAATAATACACTCATTAAATTACAATAATATATATTAATATTAAATGTAATATATAATACTAATATGCTCATTGGCAAAATGACTGTGCATTAACAAGGCACTGAAATCAAATGAAACTTCATTAATGCAAATATAATGACAATGTTTAAGTTTGATCACAATATCATAGTAAAAAGACAATTACCTGTGGAAAAACATTACAATTTAAAGGAGAGAGTGTTCTATAGTTTCCACCTGTCTCTGAATTGTGGACAAAACAGGTGTTGCAACTGTTTGTGTTTATCTCACAATTAGACTGGTATCTCTTTCTGGTGGTTTGTGTCTTCAAGCATCCAGAATCTGCCTGCCAAGTGTGAGTGCACTCAAAATCAATTGGCCTCAATACCTCCTCACAATCAGATCAGAACAGCCTAGATGGGAGGTAGGCCATCCTGCTCTCCTCAGCATGATGATTCAATCTTTCTCAAACTCTGTCAGTTATGCATAATGTTTCTGACTGTGTCATACAGAGCTACCTAGCATTTAAAGATCACCAAATAACTAATAAATAGAAAATCCTGAACACAACGAACCTTGAGCTATTTTATAGAATACTGGATAGTGATTTTAAGACTAATAGCTAGTGAACAATTGACCACAACTGTAATCATTTACATATCTGCCTGAGACATAATTGGATGCCAAGTTGTGCATGCAGTAATTTGAACAATTCTATCTGATTGCATAACATTTTTGTCAACGAGCGTATATTCTAAGCATATTACATAAAACAGTACTACAAATAAAAGATGAATTAATTCAGTACAGATGAATCAGAATGATAAGTATAATAGTATCAAAATTTAATTATTGATGAATTTTTTTCATTTCTTCATTTCTTAATTTTTTTATTATGTTATATTTTAAAATTATTTTTTGATTTTTTTTGTTGTTTAATGATAACATTAAAAAAATTTTTTAAGTTTAAATATTTTAACTGTTTGATTTAAAAATGTAAAATTCTAGAAATAACAGTAGAATACTTAGATGATTTTTTAGTATTTTAAGAAGATCTGTAGATCATTATTACATTTAGAAGATCTGTACCATATCTTCTAAATGTAATAATGATCTATGTTGTAATATTGATACTTGAAGAAATTNACAATGACATTGATAAAATATTATTTCAATGACTTTCCAAATTTGTTTTTTTATGCAAATTATAATGCTGTATGTGAATAAGACTAATACTAAAAGAGCAACTTATTTATATTCAGGTCCTAATTTTTTTTCAAATAGTAAGGTTCCAAAATTGGGGATCAACTTATATTTGGGACAATACAGTAATTAAATAAAAGAAATGAAATATAATGTTAAAAATAAAAAAAAAGAAACATTATGTTTAAGATTGCAAATTCATGTATATGTTGGCAAATTTGAAATATCTTTTCCTAATGGACTTTATGGGAAAATATTTGTTACTTTCCCACAAAGTTGTTTTCTGAAAATATTGAAAATAAATTTTTTTATTATTTATATTTGAAAAATTGGAAAAGAGAAAATTTTAGAATTTGCAAATATTACATTTTTGAAATTTGAGTCACTATCCTGAACATATGAGTTGTTTTTCCCAGAGATTTCATTTTATTTATTTATTTATTTTAGAATTGACGTTAGATAAATATATAATACAAAGTGATGAATATAATATAATATAGTGTAAAAATGCACTACAACAGTTAAAATAGTTTGACACGGTGTTTTGATATTAACAGTAATAGTCTAACAGTAAATAAGTATAAATAAATGCATTTTTGTAAAGATCAATTACTATAGAATATGTAGTATATTTTAAAAGAATATTATATATGTTGCAAAAATAATTTCTAATTTTAATTATACTTTAGTTTCTAGCTGTGCCAGTGGATAAAGAAATTCATCTTTATCAAAGAGAAACATGGGATTTGATGATGTCACTTAAATGTGAAACATCAGAGGTACTTAGTGTTTAATAATTGAAATAAGAATATTTTGACATATATTACTTAAAGTAACTAATATCTTCTCTTCTTTTTTTGTCAGAACAAGAATACAGTTTGTTAGAAGATAAATATGTAAGAAAATTCAATTTTTTGAGGAATATTAATATTTTAGTATAAGGGCTATCTGGAAAGTAACTTCCATTTGGTTATTAAAAAAACATCAGCATAGTGAAAGGAATTTTATTATATGCAACTTAAACTTTTGCATTATTTTTCAACATAGTCACCAGTGAAATTTATACACTTATCTTAGCATGTTATGAGTTTTTGTATTCCATTGTTGTAGAATTCTGCCACCTGTGATTTCAGCTATATCAATGACTACTTCATAAAGAACTGTGTGTGAAATCTGTGGAAACTCACTAGAAAGTTCTGAAACTGTGAATCAGCAAGTCTCTCTAACCTTTTCATAAACTTTTGTATGAGTTTATCAGTCACCACAAATGGCCAGTCACTTCTCTGCTCATTGTAGATATCTTTTTACCCATTTTTAACATAGGGCATCATTGTCTCACTCTACTCTCACTCATTATGTTCTCTTCATAAACTTTATACAGTTGACAATGGATTTCAACAGTTTTGCAGTTTTTGGCTAAGAGAAATGTTATCAATGAGCATACCTCACAGTTGTGTGAAGCTCCGGAAGTGGGTCAAAATTCATGCACAGAAAATGTTTTTAATTTAGTATAAAAAAATTAATAATAATAATAATTATTATTATAATATTGTAAAAAGAAACCATCAAAAGCAAAATGAATATTTTATGTCCATATAAAGACATATCTGTAGAAATTTCTTAAAAAAAACGAATTTCTCAGAATGAAACAATAGATGAATTTGAGTGCTTAGATCGAACATCTTCGATAGAAAACAAATTGTCAGTTGGAGTTGATTCACCCCGCAATCTGGGCTCTGATCCCATTACAATTCGTAACGAGGAGGGGGGCCCAATTAGACAGCGGGGTCAGATTGACATTGACCTATCGGAATGTTCGATCTGGGACCCAGAAAAACTTATAAAAACCGCGCAAAAAAAGGATGTGATGTTCTTGGTTCGTAGTTCGGTGTGCTCCGCTTCTGGATTTTTCCTGCGGTTCAACAATGGAAACTTGGTCGACGTTCCGGAAGAAGTTTTCGCCACCCCATCCTGGCAAGTTTCGCCAAGTGTAACCTGCTACAAGAATCACCCCTTCAAGTTGTGCTGTGCACCCCAGAGCCTATGTTTTCCTCATCATCTTTGCCAGAAAAAGAGAAGATCGTCGAAACGATTAAACTTTATTTACGAACTGATTCATTCTTCGGATAGTCCTTATGCCGAAGTAAAACAGTAGTTGTAAGCAAAATTTTTATATTTAATAAACAGTTTGGGATGGAGGACCTGTCTCAATAAGTTTTTCCACTTCCACGCGACAGTGCTGACTGCTCGATTGTTGTGACACTTTCTCCCCAATCAGTTGCCTCACAGTTGGCAGGATTCTGAATGAGGACATTGAATGGATTCTTGAATGTCAATTGTGACAAGACAATGGAGAGCATGATAATGTAATTTTCCATAGATGGATATGTATCAAATAACACTACACTGTTGTCAAAACTGACACTGTTATTTACACTACTGCCATTGCCACATGAAAACAGAAGTTACTTTTTGGGTAGCCCTCATATTATTAAAATATTTGGGAAAATTCTTTTTCATTCAAAACAGATGAAAAGAATAATTCATGTAAAAATAATGAATAATGAAAAAATATATAAATAAGTGAAACATTTCAATCATAAAATGTGAAGTTATAAAGTCAGATATTTTTTTTTAATAAAATAAACAGCTATTTACCTGTTAAGTGAGTCAACAGCAATAGTTAATGGAATTACATTCTCTAAATGTATAAGATGAGAAAAATAAGCTCCTGTTTTAGTACAAACTGATATAAAATATTCTTCTGTTAAAGATGAACTGATGAGCATATAAATATTATTTGAATTAAAATCTAATGCCAATGATTTTATTTCCATATGTGCTGTAAATATAAAATTATTTAAATTGAAATATAAAAATCAACTGATTTTAAATAAATAACATTTATAAATAAAACAATTAGATATGACTACTTTACTAACCCAACTGCAATATTGTTTCAATCTGTCTTCCATCTCTTTGCATTGTTTTCAAATGATTTCTATGTGACCAAAAGAACTGTTCAATCTTTGGATCATACACTATATTTGCAGAATGATCCTAAAAGTTGATTAATAATTTATGTTTAAATTGTTATAAAATATTTCATTCATTGAAAATAATAATTGTTGACTTATCAGATTTAAATGATAAAAAAACATTCCAAAATACTTAATTCATTTTATATAATAATAACAAAAAAAATAAAAATATAGCTTAAGTATATCTAAAAAATTAACATTAGATTATGTACATAATTCTACTGCATATAAAAAATTTTAAGTAAATCTTAAAAGAAATTTATTGTTGTAATTAGTAATGATCAGAATTTTAATAAAACTAAACAATGATAAACTGATAGAACTAAAATATTTTAAACTTCAAAAATATCTGAAAGATCTCTGTATAATTATTGTTCTCCACAACATTATAAAGAATAACTGACTAATAATAAATAAATATTTGTCAGTTGATAGGGTTTTGCATCATCAATTAATACATGATTTTAAAACAAAACATGTTCACAGTGAACCATAATGTAACATTTGTACTTTGGAATGTGGTCAAAGCAAGAGTATGATTTGGGGAACATTTGAAGGAAAAGTTCTTTTAGAAAACTTTGGGTAAAGTGACATTGAAAAGTTCCTAAGGAAGAACAGAATTTGGTAATTCATAGAGTATCAGTCAAAAATTAGTAGTGTAGTTGGACTAACTCTAGAATAGGAAGGTTTCTAACCTCCCTATATTATTTAACTTTCCAATGTTATCAGACTTCCCCTGAAATAGGGGAAGTCTGATAACATTGGAAAGTCTGATCAACTAAAGTCACCTGTCAACTCCAAAGTGGAAAACTCATCAATCATTCAATCTAGTTTACAAAATTGTGGCTTGAATATAAAAAACAAATCACAATTAAACGTCACACAGACACAGCCAAAGTTGTTATAAACTTTTCTGTTTCTTTTATAGATACTATATAAATCTGATCAAACTTGGGAATTCTTTAAAACCAAACATGCAATTGTAAAGAATTTTACAATATTGCATGTGACATATTACAAAAGTTTGATCTAAATCTGTACCAATAAACTAAAAGATATGAAATCTGAGCAATGACAATTTGATAATTGTACTATTGGAAAAAGGAAAAGTTTCAAATCTGGTAAAATTTTTTAATCAGAAGATTTAAACAATGTATATAGAAGAGAAAAGTTCAAGTGGTCTAAAAAAAAGATTCTTCAAACAAACTAAAAAACCAAAAAAATTCTATCAGTAAAATGGACTTCAGAAAAATTTCTCTCCAAGCGCAGAATAAAGTTTTTACTATTAATCTTAGATTTTGTTTGTAAAACAAATGTTCTACAATGTATATGCTATTTATTAAAACCTATTAAACTTTTTAATAAATTGCTTTAAAATATCAATTGTAGTATCAATATATAATTCAAAATAAATTTAGATATTTTCTTTTATAATATGAAAAGCTTTGCTGCAATGAGTAATATTAAAATCATTATCATCATTTTAAATTATATAGTTGACTTGCCTTAAAGCAAACACCAATAAAGTGAATTCTTGCATTAAAGTAAATTTTGTCATTGCCCTAGCGAAATATTGTCACAATGTTAATTTTCATGCAATAAAGTGAACAAAAATTTTACCAAAACTTGCTAAACTGAACTGTAAATTATCTTCACACCACAAAAAACAACTCTATTTCCAATAATGCTTTTTACACTTTTTAATGTGAACAATAAAAAGTTTCTAGTTATTAGGAAAAAAAAATGGGTTCGATCTCCAATTGCATGCAAAAAGTTTATTAACATCACTCCTCTCTAACAAAATACTGTAAACAATTACCATACCATTTATCACTGACAAATAAAAAGTTTGTTATCCTTTTTGATAACAAACCTACAACTGTAGAGCAATTCAAACATTGTTTTAGCAGACCATTCTACTGTACTCCGAAAATAGGGTTAAAGTTCAAGGACTCCCACCCCTTTAATTAATTAAATGGATGCAGTCCTATGCAAATATATCCTAGTTTGCATATCAGGGAGTACTGTACATAGTGATTTGTAAACCATTAATTAAGAACATTAAATTTATTTACAAAAACAAATTAATTTTGTTAACTTTATATAATAAATCAATTCAAAATATTATAATTTAGAGATTTTGATCACTTATTAAGCCTTAACTCCCTAAATTACAACCTTATCTTGTTAAAACTCTTATCTTATTAAAATACAACCTTAATCTTGACCCTGAAAATCATTAGTATGAATTTTCAATAAAGCAAACTAACAATTGTTCCCATAGCAATTCATATTAACATGAGTGGACTGTATTTTCTAATGAAAACTCAAATCTAAAAAGTATTAACAGATTTCTAATAAAATGAAAGAACAATATGTAATATATTAAATATAATATATCTTTTAATATGCTGATAACTTATAAAAATACACATTTTTAATAAATTTTAAAAAACCAAATAGGGTTGTATTTTTTAAATATATTGAAAATAGAAGTAAAAAACTTGCAAAACTTGATACCATTTTAAAATTTAGGTTCCTTGGTATGCAAAAAAATTATTTGTGCATTTTTTTATATAATTTTTCATAAAAAATACTTAAAAATTATTGCCATCATAAAGAAGTACACTGTGTTAAACATATCTCATCCCATGCTATTGGTGTCATGTTCAAATTTAATTATTTTTTATTTTACTTTTATTAATTAATCACAGTATTACATCAGGATTAAAGAATAGTACCAGTAAGATAATGGTGCCAGAGATACATAAAGTACTTGAGGATTAAGAAAATTGATTTCTGTGAATTTAAGTAAATGTGAATTTTAATATCATTGTTTTATATGTATGTAACTGTGTATTAAAAGCCTAAGAATTTTTGAAAATTTGATATCTTAACTGAATATCAGATATTAAAATGGATAACTTCTATATCAGTCAATAATTAATTTTTGTTTTAATTTTATTTAGAACTAGCTGCAAGGACCCGCTTCGCTGGGCAAAAAGTAACGATNTTCCCATAGCAATTCATATTAACATGAGTGGACTGTATTTTCTAATGAAAACTCAAATCTAAAAAGTATTAACAGATTTCTAATAAAATGAAAGAACAATATGTAATATATTAAATATAATATATCTTTTAATATGCTGATAACTTATAAAAATACACATTTTTAATAAATTTTATCATCATAAAAAAATTATACTTTTCTCCTTACCAATTTCACTTTTACAGGAGGATAAATAAAATGATTTAAATTTTCTTTTTCTACAAAATATATAACTTCATATTTTTCTTCATTTTTTATGTAAATGAATGAACTATTATATTCTAAAAAATAAAAAAAGTCAACAATTAATTAAAAGTATTACTGTTTATATATCAAAAAATTAAAAAATTAAATTAAAATATATATTTTTACCACTGCATGATTTCCCATCCTTGTTTAGTTTCCATCCATAAGAACAAGCACAGGTAATAGATAAATTGCTTGCAAGAAGGCATAGATGAGAACAATGTCCATTTTTATGATTACATGGATTTCTTTTTGCTTTTCAACAATAAAAAATTTTAAAATGAGTAAATAATCATAGATTATTTATCATAGATCATAGAAAATAAAGTTTTATCTTTAAAATTTCAATTATTATAGATGATTATAAGATTGCTCACAAATTTCCTTTTAAGTTTAAAATATATTCCATTTGTTATGAAGAATTTAGTAACAAATATTTCCTTACTATACATACATACAGGTACTCCTCACTTTACGACTGAGTTCTGTTCCGACGACTATGTCATTAAGCGAGGAGCTTGCGCCAGAAATATCAGATCATTGTAAAATTATAAAAATTATGCAACAAACTTCAAATTTATTCATAAAAAGACATGCATATGTACATATTATTTTTTTATTTGGTTATCTGGAGCTGTAGAGGTTTTTTTTCCAGGTAAGGGAGATGACACGATGAAATAGTTGTACCTTCAAGGGCAGAGGTCTTGGATGTAACAGTTGAAAAACATTGTAATTTTTTTTTCTTGATAAATTTCTCTATAGCACTTCAAAAGTTCACTCTTCCCACGTTCAACTTTATGTTAAAACATTCAGTATTTGGATCCATAGCCTCAAGTTCCAACATAGCTGCATTAATTTTGGAGAACACACAAGCTAACCCTACATGGGTAGCTGGTGTGTACCATGAATTTCTTTTTCACTTCTTCAGTTCTTTTGTCTTCTTCCTCTTCCAAATACTGCATCGCTTCTAACTCTATTAAATCTTCATTTGTTAGCTCTCCATTGGCATAATCCACTAATTCAGCAATGTCTTCCACTTCAACATCTAAATTAAGTGCATTGGCAAGACCCGCAATTGTTTAAATTACATCAAACTGACTAAAAAAGTGCATAGCAAGCCTATAGTATGCTCAGTGAGCATGTCACCAATCGCCACTGATCGACACTCAAGCTGAGAAAGGGCATTTCCCAAATTGCAGGTCAAAACTCAATTGGTCATAAGTGGGAGTGGTTGTTAAGCAGATAGGTCGTAAAGTGAGGAGTACCTGTACATTACTACTCAAATCTTAATATCAATGTCAAAGACAGTCAAATATGAAATAGATTTTGTCAAAAATAATGAGCAGTTTATTTTATTAACTAAGATCATAAACAAACATCATTTTCATATTATTTATGCCCTAAACACTATTTAGGTCTAGCTATTTTGAAATTCAAATCAAAGAAATGATACTATATATCAGTTTCAAAGTTTACCATTTTGTTTTCTAAAAATAAACTTTCTTCACTATTTCTAAAAACCATATTTTCTATTTGTGAATTAATTTAAATTTAAAATGAAAAATAATTATAATTTTCATTCTATATTTTGGAAATATTAAAATAAAAGTTAAACTTAATTTTATTAAAAAGCATACCAATAGTATATAAAAATATATTTTTATCAAATCAATAAAGTATAAGATGTATTTTATAAAATTTAATAACAGAATTTTTTAAAAATATTAATTTAATAGAAAGAAAAACGGATTACAGTTACAAATTGAAATATTTATTTTAGTACCTGGTGGTTGATGTGATGAATGAAGAATGCGAACATCATAAATGTCTGGATATGTTGCTGTTAAAAAATCAACTTCTTTAAGTTTCCATCTATCAATCTGAAAAGTTAATTAAATATTCTTGATAAAATTATTAAAAATATTTTAAATCATGAGAATAAACAAAATTTAAAATATTAAAATTTCTTTCATTGAGTAGAATGAATAGAATTATACATAGTATAAGAATTATCATATTTACTTGAATGTGAGATGCACTTTTTTCAGATTCTCTGAAAATAAAGTGTCTTAGACTCAATATAATGCCTCATAATTAGTGATCTCCAGTGTCCATCTTATTTCTGTCACTAATTGCATGGAATTATTTTAATTATTTTATTAGACTAATATTCATAATAGTAAATATTTAGGAGGTCATCTTAGCTCAATCTCGTTAGTCTATTGAAGTAACATTGTAAGTAGTAACATTTATCAAGCATCAAGGATGGGCTAATGAAAGACAGGATAATCACACCATTTTCCTTTGCTTGAAAAGCCATGAATGGTTCAGTGTATCTTAACATGTTTGAACTCTTCATGTATCCTCAGATAGAAGACTTGTAAAACCCAGCAATATCTTTCAGCAGAGTGGAGCTTCTCCATTGGACTATAGATGTTTGCAAGTTCCTAAATAAATTCTTAACTGCTGGATAAAATGCAACAGATCCATTTTCTGGTCACCACATTCCCTGGATATTACCCAACTGGATTTCTTTTTATGGGAGTACACAAAAGACCATATGTATGTAACTAAAGTGGATGACACCCCTAAGTTAAGAACTTGCATCTGTGTTGTGATTGCTACAGTGACAATGGACATGGAAAGAACTTGGAAAGAAATTAAATACAGGCTTAATCTTGTTCATGCTACAAATGCTTCACATGTAGAGATCCACTAAAGGGTGCTAAATAAATGTTTGGACATGTCCTTCATTTTATGTAATTTTATTTTAATATATNCAAAGAAATGATACTATATATCAGTTTCAAAGTTTACCATTTTGTTTTCTAAAAATAAACTTTCTTCACTATTTCTAAAAACCATATTTTCTATTTGTGAATTAATTTAAATTTAAAATGAAAAATAATTATAATTTTCATTCTATATTTTGGAAATATTAAAATAAAAGTTAAACTTAATTTTATTAAAAAGCATACCAATAGTATATAAAAATATATTTTTATCAAATCAATAAAGTATAAGATGTATTTTATAAAATTTAATAACAGAATTTTTTAAAAATATTAATTTAATAGAAAGAAAAACGGATTACAGTTACAAATTGAAATATTTATTTTAGTACCTGGTGGTTGATGTGATGAATGAAGAATGCGAACATCATAAATGTCTGGATATGTTGCTGTTAAAAAATCAACTTCTTTAAGTTTCCATCTATCAATCTGAAAAGTTAATTAAATATTCTTGATAAAATTATTAAAAATATTTTAAATCATGAGAATAAACAAAATTTAAAATATTAAAATTTCTTTCATTGAGTAGAATGAATAGAATTATACATAGTATAAGAATTATCATATTTACTTGAATGTGAGATGCACTTTTTTCAGATTCTCTGAAAATAAAGTGTCTTAGACTCAATATAATGCCTCATAATTAGTGATCTCCAGTGTCCATCTTATTTCTGTCACTAATTGCATGGAATTATTTTAATTATTTTATTAGACTAATATTCATAATAGTAAATATTTAGGAGGTCATCTTAGCTCAATCTCGTTAGTCTATTGAAGTAACATTGTAAGTAGTAACATTTATCAAGCATCAAGGATGGGCTAATGAAAGACAGGATAATCACACCATTTTCCTTTGCTTGAAAAGCCATGAATGGTTCAGTGTATCTTAACATGTTTGAACTCTTCATGTATCCTCAGATAGAAGACTTGTAAAACCCAGCAATATCTTTCAGCAGAGTGGAGCTTCTCCATTGGACTATAGATGTTTGCAAGTTCCTAAATAAATTCTTAACTGCTGGATAAAATGCAACAGATCCATTTTCTGGTCACCACATTCCCTGGATATTACCCAACTGGATTTCTTTTTATGGGAGTACACAAAAGACCATATGTATGTAACTAAAGTGGATGACACCCCTAAGTTAAGAACTTGCATCTGTGTTGTGATTGCTACAGTGACAATGGACATGGAAAGAACTTGGAAAGAAATTAAATACAGGCTTAATCTTGTTCATGCTACAAATGCTTCACATGTAGAGATCCACTAAAGGGTGCTAAATAAATGTTTGGACATGTCCTTCATTTTATGTAATTTTATTTTAATATATTTCATAATTTCTTTATTGTGAGGTTTTGAAATGAGAGAGGTTTGAAAGGGACACACTGTATAATTGTATTGTATTTACATGCCAATCATTTACATATTAAATTAATTTACTTACCTTTTCAACAAAATGTTTCAGTCTTTCTGTCCAAAATAAATTATTTTCATGTACAGCAATAGAAAAATACGTTGAAAAATTTTCATCTTGTAATAGTCTCCTCATATTGTTACCATGATAATCAGCAACATAAATGGAATGTAATCTTAAAAAAAAAATAAATTTCAATTAAATAGTATACTATGAGAAATTAAAATAATTCTTAATGAAATTTTTACATTATTTATATAATTAATGATCATCAAATTTATAAAATGGTATATAATATCAAAAAATCTAAATTATATTGAAAGTGTGTTTAATTAAACTTAAACATTCTTAGTTATTAGCTAATTTCTAGATTTTAAACAAAATTTAGTTGATTAAAAAAATCTAACTTAAAATCTTGAATAAAAAAATAATCAATATGGTTATATCATTTAAATAATTAGTCTAGAAGTAAAGATAAATCATAATTAGCAACTTATCTACATGGTAAACAGAAGTTGCAGATTCATGAATTGTCTGATAAAATTAATTATTTTTACAATTTTAAATTATTCTATTAAATATGAAAAAGCTTTCACTAGAAAAGCCTTTTTTGAGGTTCTTTTAATTATAAAATTATATATAATTTTCCAATAACAAGATGTCTTTGCTAGAAAATATAATAATTACAATTTACTGGGTTATATAAATAGCATATGTAAATCATTATAGATTTTGTAATATCATCTCCAAAGTTTAGCAACAAACTATACAAAAATGAAAATTACTTTTTACAAATGAAGATATTTGAGAATAAGTAATCTAAATATATAAAATTACTTGTCCTGACTGACTGACTGATTCATTGCCCAGAGCAAGCCGCTGAACCTAAAGAGGTGAAATTTTGTACACAGTTAGGGTACATCATGAAAATGCACACAAAGAAGGGATTTTTCGAAATTCCCACATGGGGGAGAGGGAGAGGATTAACCTGAAGAACAGCTTATACTGAACTATTTTAGGTGCANAATCAAAATTTTTTTATAATGTTTAATATTATAAAAATATAATATTAATATATGTTAATTTATAAGTGTATGTATAAACAAATTACACTCTTTACCATAAAAATTAGCACACCAAGGAGTTGTATCACTGTGAAACTTAGCATGCAGATAAGTCTCAAGCAGATATGGAAATGATTAGAGTTATAGCATGATGGTTCATTGTGTAATGCCAGCAGAGGGCATTAAAGTGCATTTCCCTGGCCTATAAAAAAAAGCATACAAAGGTATTCTGTCTGAAGTTTACCTGTTGTAGAGGGACACTATATCACTAGAGATGCCTTTATGTCATAATTAAAGACCATATGAATTTGAAAGGGAAAGGATCATTGGGTTGAGAGGAGCTGGATGGTCATCTGGCTGAGTAGCCTCCACCTAGGTAATTCTGACAACACTGTGAGGAGGTGTTGGGATCAGTGTATGACAGAGAACTTGCACACACAGTGCTCAGGCTCAGGATGCCCTTAGCAGACCACTAGCTGAGAGGACTACCTGGTTCTTCAACAAGCATGCAAAAGTCAACCATACTGTTGTCTGCCATCTGAACAGGCTCCTGTGTCTGTCCATACCATTTCAAGACACCTGGGTGAGGAACATTTGGTATTGTGGTGGCCATTACATATGCTATCATTGACAGCCACCCACCATTGCCTCCATTTGGTGTGGTGTCACTCCCAATGGGATCGGACTGCAATGGAATGGAACTGGATTGTCTACAGTGATTGTCTTCAGTTTGGGCACTGATGACAGCTATGTTTGTATCTGGAGGCCCCATGGTGAATGCCTCAATCCTGCCTACAATTTGGAGCAGAACACTGTCCCAACAGCTGGTATGATAGTCAGTGGTGCAATCACATACAACTGTCTCCTCTGGTAGTGATTCAAGGGACCATGACAGCCCAATGGTATGTACTCTTCCTGGTGGTCAATTTCTCCCCACCTTACGATCTACGATTGTGATGTGCATTTTCTCCAATAGAACCTTTTTGTTTAGTTTTTTGAAGTTAGGTCATGCATTCACTTGACTGGTCAATGGCCATGTCAGTACATGGAATAAATATTAAAATAAATATCAGCCATTTAAACATTCTAAATCAGAAAATTGATTTAATGCAAAATGAAAGATTCTATAATTGTAACAAAACACTTGATTTTAACACTACTAAAATGTTAGTAATACTGAAATACATCCTCACTTGTACTTCCATTACTTCTAGTTTTAAGTTAGTTTAAGACATTGTGAATGAGTAATTATTAATTAAGCATTTGTTATGGTTATTGTAAGCTTGTAAGAGGATTGTAAAATAAACTTTTGTTTCATATGATAATGACTTTTGTTTGGTTCTTTTTCTACTTAAGAATTCTTAAACTTCTACTTGAACTCAGAAAGTGGATTGGCCATGTGTTTGTGGAAGACTTATCTTTATTCTGATAGCCTTTCAGAGCACCAGATATCATTTCCATGACTTCTTCTGATACTATGTCTATATAATACTATCTTTTATGATTCTTTTAGAGAACAAAAAAAAACAAAGTTATTTATTAAGACATTTTTGAATAACCTTGTATATATAGTGTGATCAAAAAGTTGCTCTGCAGTGTGTGGGAAAATGGGATGAGCTTCCAGGAATAAAGTAATGATGTCACAGACAGCTTGTGTGTGGAAAGAGTTAATAAATATCCTAAAAGTTTATGACACAAATGCAACTATAATTACAGTTATTATAATTAATATTTATAATTATTTCTCTATAATTAATATATACAAACATTTATGAATTCACATATAGATACTTATGAAATTTTTAAATCAAACAATTTCAAAGATAATTATTAATTTCATTTTATATTATTTTTAGAATTTTGACAGTTTGCTTTATAACACTAATAAAATTCCAAGTAATATTCCTTCAGTATCAAGATATTTAACAGTTATGAGATCTGTTCAATGGATAGATGATTCTGTATATAAACATTTACAAGTAAGTATTAAAATATTTCATAATTTCTTTATTTAATATCAGGATTAGGATTCAGAAAAACTTTTTACATTGATGAAAGTTTTATTATTTTTTTGACATATTTGATAATTAATAATTTTTCTAGAGCCTTGGAATTAAAACAAGAATATAATGCAGAATTTCTGCTTAATATATTTCATAATTTCTTTATTGTGAGGTTTTGAAATGAGAGAGGTTTGAAAGGGACACACTGTATAATTGTATTGTATTTACATGCCAATCATTTACATATTAAATTAATTTACTTACCTTTTCAACAAAATGTTTCAGTCTTTCTGTCCAAAATAAATTATTTTCATGTACAGCAATAGAAAAATACGTTGAAAAATTTTCATCTTGTAATAGTCTCCTCATATTGTTACCATGATAATCAGCAACATAAATGGAATGTAATCTTAAAAAAAAAATAAATTTCAATTAAATAGTATACTATGAGAAATTAAAATAATTCTTAATGAAATTTTTACATTATTTATATAATTAATGATCATCAAATTTATAAAATGGAATATAATATCAAAAAATCTAAATTATATTGAAAGTGTGTTTAATTAAACTTAAACATTCTTAGTTATTAGCTAATTTCTAGATTTTAAACAAAATTTAGTTGATTAAAAAAATCTAACTTAAAATCTTGAATAAAAAAATAATCAATATGGTTATATCATTTAAATAATTAGTCTAGAAGTAAAGATAAATCATAATTAGCAACTTATCTACATGGTAAACAGAAGTTGCAGATTCATGAATTGTCTGATAAAATT